GTTCCAAATTTAACTTGCAACGGCAGCGGTGTGGGGGGATGCGGGCTTTTCTTTCTGAGCTTAGGTGAGCCTGCCAGTCCGCGCCCCCTTTGGTTGTGCTGGAGGCGTAACGGTTTTTTTTTAAATACCAAAAGGAGGGCTACAAGCCTACAACGGGTTTCATCTCCGGAGCTATCAGATACGGCATAACGGCCTGCCACCTTGCGGGCTAACCTCGGAATGTAAGCGCACAATGGCTGTGCTGTCTCCTACACAGCCATCTTACCTAAGGATGGCTGAGCTAGCTACAGTGCAGCCACATCCTTCAGCCCGATGGCTGCAACACGCACACGGCAGCCATCCTTAGTAGACATGGCTGGAGACGTACTACCGCAGCCATACCGGTTACCGCCCTCTTGGCTGAGCTGGCTACATCGCAGCCATCTTGGGTAAGATGGCTGGGGGACAGCCATTTCAGCCATTTCAGCCATCTACTATGGCTGGGGCACAGAGATTGCAGCCATCCTCCAGAGCCATGGCTGGTGATAATTCGATGGCAGCCAATGGCAGCCGTCCCGCGAGGCCGGGGGCGGCAAGCGCGCAGCCATTTGTGCGTGTGGCGGAGGCGGCGGACGGCTGCCATCGAATTAGAGAGAGAGATTTTTAGCAATGCTCACCAGCCATGCACCGCACGATGGCTGCACTGACTGTGCCCCAGCCATAGTAGATGGCTGAAATGGCTGTGGCCCAGCCATCTTACCCAAGATGGCTGCGATATAGCCAGCTCAGCCATGAGGGCCCGCCCAGGGGCGTGCGGTATGGCTGCAGCAGCGAGCTTCCAGCCATCCCTACTCAGGATGGCTGCCCTGTGTGTAATGCAGCCATCGGCCTGGAGGCTATGGCTGCACTGCAGCTAGCTCAGCCATCCTTAGGTAAGATGGCTGTGTAGGAGACAGCACAGCCATAGTGCGCTTACATTCCGAGGTTAGCCGTGCCGTGCCTTTCTGAGGAGGTCGGGAGATGCCGTGTCTCGGATAAACCTGATCGACCAGCTCCTCGAGGCCGGCGTGCCACCTTGCTCAAAAAGCCGGTTCCTCTTCTCAGGAGCGCTGCGGCCTGCGCCCTCGCCACGCCCACCCAGCTGCGACAAGCGCTACCCACCCACCCTCGTCGAATTCGTCGAGCTCTCACACACTCTCACACACTCTCTCGCCGCGGCCACGGTGTGTGTGCGCGTCGCTCCTGCCGTTTGTCTCTCCACCACACTCCGGCGCCTCTGGTGTCGCGACACTCTCCCCCGCGCCTCCACCTATCCTTTCCGCCGCCCACGAGAGATCATAGGCCCCGCCACAGAGACGCCCCGTTGTTGTCCTGCGGCAGGCCCATCATGCTAAACACGGAGAAAGGTGCCCTCGGCAACCTCCTCATTGGTACGATCCTCGCCATCGTCGCGGCCGTCGGTATGGGGGTTGAACTGTACGACCGTCTCTGTGGCGGCATTGACGAGATTGGCCTTTCCTGCGCCGATTTCATCCCAGGTGTGGAGCTGTGCCGAGAGTGACCTCATAGCACACACACGCTCTCCTTAACAAGCCGCGCCCCATTGTTCGCTGCAGATGTTGCTACTGCGTCATTTGCCCTCACCGTTGTTGCCGCCGTCGCGGGCTTTGCAGCACTGGTGGCGGCGGCGAAAAAGATTTGGAAGCTCGCCACTGCCATTGCCATCCTGGCTTTCGTGACCGTCTCACTCCATTTCATCTGGTTTGCACCATGGGAGCTGTTCGGCATCACAATCGGGAAGCCCCCCTTTGAGTGGTACAACGGCGTCGCCATCGGCAGCGTCATCAACTACCTCTTTGGCGCTCTCGCCACGTTTCAGATGTCCAAGGCTGCGGAATCCGACCTTCCGAAGTAAACGCTGCAGCGCACATCGCTACATGGGGTGGGGTGGGGGTTATCTGTCTGTCTGCCCACGCACCACGGTGATGCATGCCCTATCTGAGGAGGGCAGGAGGGGAGGCTTCATCGCATGCTCCATGTTGATCACATGCCCCCATCGTGCTCGTCAAACATCAAGGGGGGGGGCGCTAGTCGGGGCGGGTATCCATGGGGGGGGGGGGGTCCCACATGGCCCGCCGCAGGCGTCGATTTTCATTGTTTTTCATTTTTGCGATTTTTCCATTTTATACATGGGTTGTTGCACGAGTTTATGGGCCAAAAGCGTCGAAAATGTCCCAAAAAGCGTGTCTCGAGTTTGTGGCAGCTCCGCAGCCAGCGCGGGCTGCCAGGACGCACCGCGCTCGCGCGAGGCGCGTTCCCAGCGCACTCCCTGGCACCCAGGGAGTGCGCCGAATCGATCAGACCGATTAGGCTCGACGCCGCGCTCGCTGTGGGGCTGCCACAAACTCGCCGCCGAGCGTGCCACCGAAGGCGTCCCGTCGGAGGTGATGGAGTGTGAGACCTGAGGCTGCGGAGGTGACGCCTGACTGAGGTACCGGCCCGTGTACGGCGACTCAGCCGGCGACCGCCACGGGCTCAGACGAGACCTGTCGACGCGTTCCGGCTCAGCTTCACCGTGGTCATCGGACGTCTGTCGACGTCAGGACCACCCATACAGCTCGCGGGTTTGAGGTCGCAAGAGCCAAGATGGTGGCGTTTGGACATCCCAACCATCACACAAGACAGCCTGTAGGTGATGGCGTGCAACAGGTCTTGACTCCTTCCAGCTCCTGACGCTATCACTGGCAGCTCTAATGGCCAGGGTCAGTAGTGTTGTGATAGAGGGTGCCCATACTAGCGCAGAAGCTGCCACACTCGCCCGGACCGTCCCCTTCTGGGGCCGGTTCCGCAGCCCGCGAGAGCCGACAGCGGGGCCGTGCCGCGGGTGCCTACTGCCGAGTGCCACAAACACTGCACCGTCCCGAGCTCGCGGGTTTGAGGTCGGTTACTAAAGACTTGTGACCATGTGAGTCTATCTTGTACTACCACACTAAAAGCCGTATAGTGAGCCACTCACTCGGGCGTCTCGGCTGACGTTGATCGCTCTCCCTAGCCTATCGGTCCCCCGCTCGATCCTCTCCACTGCTGATGAGCAGTACCTCTCCGATCAGAGTAAGGACGGCACTGCCCTGCTCTCCTACATTGAGCGGCACGACACAAGGGGGAGAGACGAGGCAGCAAGGCAGAAACCGCACTTTGAATGGAGAGAGGTCCTCCGAAGGTCCTCACCAGAACGACGTGAGGTCCTCAATGGAGGTCCTCCACACGCGGACACAAATTAGGGTGTCCTGAACAGCCTTGAGCGTCCGATTGACTGCCGCGCGCGCGAGTGTGCGAATTGTGGAGTTAGCAGACGATGAATTCCAGACGAGATCGATGCATGTGACTCAGGAATTTTACAACAAAACCTCTCGTCACTCAGGAAACCTTAAGCATTATCCCGTAGGATTCGGTGGAGCGTTCGATTGTGCAGAAGCAAAGCAGGACTAGCTTTTATGAATTCTTTTCTTGGAGTGCAGTGTGATTCTGTGTGAGCTCTGTGTCTTGATTTGCCAACAATATACCTAAGGCGTGGAAGGGCGTCCGAGTCTCTTGGAATTCGCCGGGCCGCCACCCGCTGGTCCCGGCGACGCTGTGAGGGCGTTGAGGGGAATTCGACAAAACAGTATTAACACAAGTGGAGAGACGCTGAATGTCTGAAGGTTTGATCAATCAATATTGATTGACTAGCAGGTTGGCTCGCTAGTCGCTCGCCGGCCCGCGCAGCACGCGCGGGCCTTTTTTGTGGTCGGATGTTGGTCGTCTCGAATTTGATCGTGGGCAGGGCGTGAGAAAGCTGGACGGCTCGGTCGATGCGAGCCACCAGCTCGTGAGCGACGGGCGCGACGGGTTCCTCGGCGTAGGCTTGGGCGTGGTGAGCAGCGCCGGCGAGAGAGGGACGGCATGCGGCTCCCAAACGAGCCGCACGGGCTTCATCTGGGCCGCCGAGGCCACCTCCTTGGTCGCGGTGGCGGGCGTGAAGGCGAGGTGGGCCGAGGCAAGCGCTGAACGTGCCGTGCCGCCTTGCGCCCCTGAGGAGGGACGAGTGTGTGGGGTGCCACGGGCGGGGGGGAGCGGTGAGAGGAGAGCGGTGGGCACCCCCACGAGGGGCTGCGCTGACGCCGCCTGCCACCCCACGCACGCCACTGACGCTGTGGGGGCGGCACGATCGAACGCGCTGGTCGGGCGGGCCGTCTGAGTCGCCCAAGCGGTGCTCTGCCGGCCGGTGGACGCGAGGGTGGCCCAAGAGGGCTCAAAGTACGGAGCCGATACCAGGCCGTCCCGGACGCCTGGCACGCGGGCCAATGGTCCAGCCGTCCTGTGCATGGCTGGAGCGAAGGAGGGAGAGCTCAGGAGGGCGACGGGGCAGGGAAGGGGGCGATGCGATGCGGCGAGGTCTAATCGGCGGCGTGGAGAGAGGAGGTGCCAAAAGGCGACTATAGAGAGGCCTCTACGGGTGATATAGTGCGCCATGCCGGCGGGAGAGGTCTCTCACCGCCCCCCGGGCCGTCTCGAAGGGCCGTGCAGCCCACGCCACGAGGCGCTGCTGGCGGGAGCCTGGAAGGACTTGGCCTCGTTGCACCGCGCCGCGTTGATTCGCGACCACCGTCGGCCGCGGACGGCGTCGGCGTGGCGGCCGCGGGCGCTCGCGAGACGCGCCGCTCTGCGCTGGTTCGGTTCGTTCGACTCGTTGTGCCGCCGCACGCCCGGCGGCCGCGGGTCCCAGAAGTGGTTGCGCGGGCCTCTTCCTTTCGGCCGCGGGACGGCGTCGGGCACGTCGTCGGTCGCAACAGCGGCGCGGCGAGCCGCGGCACGTCGTTGCTGGCGCTGGTGGTTTGAGGTCGGCATCGTCCAGAGCTCGGTCGACGAGTCTAGAGCTTCAGCTGGTCGGGTGCCATGTTTGTGCGGAAAGTGGCAAATATATCTCTTTGATTGAGGTGGCACAGACCCCTCACATCTTAGAGGCCGAACCCTGCAGCGCCATGGCGGCGGAAAACTGGCCTGCCGGGCTCACGGACGAGTCCGTGAACGCGGCGATCGACCGGCTGCTGCGCCGCGAGGACTGGGACACCATCTCGGTCAAGGTGGTGCTCCGGATGCTCGAGACGGAGCTGCTGCCCGGCGCCGACGGCTCCCTCCGCGCGCACAAGAAGTTTGTCAAGGCGGCCGTCGACACAGCGATGGCGCGCATCCTCGCCGAGGGCGGCACCGGCGGCGGCGGAGGCGGCGGCGCGGCCGAGGACGCGCCGATGGAAGCGGCGCCGGAAGCGGCGGCGGAGGCGGAGCCGGCGGCGCCGGCGCAGGACGCGGCGGACGGGGCGGGCTCGGAGGAGCCCGCGCGCAAGAAGCGGAAGGTGGAGGAGGCGGAGGACGGCGGCCCCTCCGCCGCGGGCCCCGGCGAGGAGGTGTCGCCGCCGGACGTCGGTGCGGCCGCGGCCGCCGGCGAGCGCAAGGGCGAGGACGGCGAGGGCGAGGGCGAGGGCGAGGGCGGCGAGGGGGAGGGGGAGGGCGGTGGCGCCAAGGCGGAGGGCGGCGGCGAGGGCGAGAAGTCGGAGGGCGCGAGCGGCGAGGAGAGCGACGGGAGCGGCGAGGAGGAGAGCGAGGGCGAGGAGGACGAGGAGGCCGCGGTAGCGGTTGGCAGGCCGAGATGTCGCCGAGATGTCGCCGAGATGTCGCCGAGATCGGACGAGGTTGGAACCGAGGTGGCTCTCCTTTCGTTAGGCCGTCGCACCGCGCGGACGGGAAGGTCTTTTACCGCCAGGTGGCCGATCATGCCCTCACCCTCACCCTCACCCTCACCCTCACCCTTACCCTCGCGCTCGCCTTTGCCCTCGCCCTCACCCTCAACCCTCGCCCTCAACCCTCGCCCTCAAACCTCATCCACCCCACCCCCACCCTTGCCCAGATGAAGAAGGGGGAGGAGACGTACGAGGTCGGGCAGGACTGCTACCTCGAGAACGGCGCCGACGTGCCCTACGTCGCGCGACTGCAGGAGATCTTCGTCTACTCGTTTGCTTCGTCGGAGGTCTACTTCAACGCGCGCTGGTACTACCGCGAGGGCGACGTCCACGAGTACGCAAAGATGGCCGGAGCGAGCGGCAAGGTCAAGTACGAGGGAGGCACGCTCACCGCGGCGCCGTCGGAGCTCTTCTTCTCGCTGCATTTCGACGAGAACCACTCCGACTGCGTCCTCCGCCCGTGCGCCGTCCACCTCCTCGACGAGCGGCCCGACGGCGGGTTCGGGCCGCACGAGTTCTTTGCGTGGCGCGCGTACGAGAAGAAGGCGGTCTACCCGCTGGAGGCGCTTCCGACCAAGAAGCTGCGCGACGCGTACGCGACCGAGGCGCACACACGCACACACACACGCACACACACAGGCACAGGCACAGGCACCCCCCCCCCCCCACACACACACCGCTCACCCACGCGCACCGGACTTTGCACTTTGAATGCCGCCGGGCTCCTGTCGTCTAGACGTGGAGTCGCGAGGGTCGCTCCCTGCCCCCCCCCCTCCACCACCGTGTGTGTGTGTGTGTGTGTGTGTGTGTGGAGCAGCTTACCTTACCTTACCTTACCTTAGGCCAAGCGCGGCCCCGCGGCCAAAGCGGCGGCGGCCCGCGAGGCGTCGGAGAAGGAGCGGCGCAAGCGCCAGGAGACCGAGGCGCGGGAGACGGCGCGGGAGACGGCGCTGTCGGCGGACGAGCTGAGGGCGCTCGTGATGCCGCGTCGGCACGCGGAGGTCTGGATCGAGACGCGCGCGTTCAATCGCGTGGCGGTCGACTCGCTCGTGCGGTGCGTGCAGCGGCTCAACGGCCAAAAGTCGTTTTACGTCGGTCTGGTCATCGCCACCAAGCGGGCGCCGCGGCCGTACCGGCTGGGCAAGAAGCTGGTCGAGATGTCGCTGCAGCTGCGCACGTCGGTCGGCACGCGCCTGGCCGGGCTCGACACGCTGTCCAACGATGCCCCCTCGGAGGCGGAGCTGCAGCGGTTCAAGGTGCCGCTCAACCCGGTGCACATGCGCAAGCACATGCGCAAGGTGCAGGCGGCGATGAGCGAGCATGCGGAGAAGTTCGACGAGCAGGACCTGCTGCGAAGGGCGGAGGAGGAGGAGCGGCTGCGGCGGGCGCGCGAGGCGGAGGAGGAGGCGGAGCGGGCCGCCGACGAAGAGAGAGAGCGCAAGGGGCGCGAGCGCGAGGAGATGCGCCGGCGTGCTGCGGACAAGGCGGCGGGCGGAGGCGCGGCCGAGCCGGAGCAGTGGTGGCTGTCGTACAACGTGACGCGGGGCGACGCGTCGGGGCGCGAGGTCGCAAAGTGGCGCGCGCGGCTGCTCCGCTTCGAGAAGATTGCAAAGGCGACGGTGGCCGGCGGCGAGCGCGAGAATGCGCTGCGTCTCGCTGCGCAGGCGCGCCAAAAGATCCAGCAGCTGACGGGCGAGGAGGAGGTGGAGGAGGAGGAGGGCGGCGGCGGCGGCGGCGGCGGCGAGGGCGGCGAGGGCGGCGGCGAGGGCGGCGGCGAGGGCGGCGGCGGCGCAGGCGGCGGCGCAGGCGGCGGCGGTGGGGAGGGTGGCGACGTCGAAGGCGGTGGCGGAGATGGGGGCGGCGGCGAGGGAGGCGAGTCCAGCCGTGCTCCCGATGCGGCGGAGGCAGGCTCGATGCAGGTCGACCAAGCGGCGGACGAGGCCGAGGAGGCGTAGCGGGCCGAGGCGTAGACGCAGCAGGCGCAGTGGGGCCGCGCGTGGACCATGGTGTCGGGCCCGCTTGCGCGGCAGAGGGCGTCGGACGGTCTCGACCCGCCAGTGAGGTGCACGCACGTTGAAACTAGCTGCTGGGTGAGGACGGTATGTACCGCCAAAGAGCCAAACTCGCAGACAGAGAGCGTGGGCCCGTGCGTGGGCCCCGACCGCGTCTCAACGGAAACCGCCTCATATTTACATTTTGCGGTGTGGGGAGAGAGTTGGAACGAGTGGCCGGGGGTACGGCTTTAGCGGATCGTCTCGCTTTAATTCGGTAGAGAAGTCGCTCCCCCCCCTCAAAGCTCAAACGCCATAAAGCAAACGGATCTCGTAGTCGCTATAAAGGTAAAGTAAAGGGGAAGCACCTGCCACATCTCGGCACGGGCGCCGTCTCCCGAGCAGGCGTCGCGCTGGTACGGAGAGGCGGCGGGCCGCGGCGGCGGTCGCGCGCCGCCGGCGGGCGGGGGCGGGGGCGCGGCGGCGGCGGCGCGAGCGGCGGCATCTCCAAAAGAAGGACGAGCGGCGGCGGCGGCGGCGTCTCCAGCCGCGCGCCCACGGGATGCGTGGAACGGCGGCGCTCATCCGCGGCTCTTTCCTCCTCAGGCAGCCTCGCCAGCCGGGTGCTGTCGTCCAAGACGCTCTCGTCGGCGCTCGGCGCTGCAACCGCCGCCGAGCCCCGATTCCCTTCCTAGCCCCTTCCCCGAACCTCTCGGACGCTCCCCGTAGGCGCCGCAAACGCCGCCGAGCCCACCCTCGCCGCCGCCCTCGCGTCGGGCGGCGAGTCGCTCAACGCTTCGAAGCCGGACTTGCGCGCACAGCTCGCGACGAGCACGGCAGCCGTCTCGGAGCCGTCTCGGAGCCGTCTCGGAGCCTCCCTGTAGGCGCGCGAAGCTCGCGACGAGCAAGTGGCCGCGCGGCGAGGCGATGGACGAGGACGACGACTGACGGGAGGCGGGGCGCGACCCTCGCCGAGCGGGCCATTTGGATTTGCTTGAGGCAGCGTGGCCTCTCCACGTGGATGTGTGGTGTGTAGTAATCTGCAAGGTGGATTGTGTGGTGCGTAGTAATCTGCAAGGTGGATTGTGTGGTGTGTAGTAATCTGCAAGGTGGATTGTGTGGTGTGTAGTAATCTGCAAGGTGGATTGTGTGGTGTGTAGTAATCTGCAAGGCGGATTGTGTGTGTGTAGTAATCTGCAAGGTGGATTGTGTGGTGTGTAGTAATCTGCAAGAGAAAAGCTCAAAACGTAGTAAACTGCAATTTTTCCTAATAGGAAGGCGAAAACAGCCAGGCTCGGACTGCGCAAAAGAAAAGAATTCATAAAAGAAGAAAAACACCGAAGTTTGGCCCGCCACTCGGCGCGCCTCTCGATGCAGAGCCGGATCAAGGTATGGTACAAGTCGGTGGGCGTGCAGCGCGTCGCGCACGCCGCGCGCTGGGCCGTCACGCTCGACGGCCGTGCGCTGCAGACGCCCGCAAAGTCTCCGCTCGAGCTGCCGACCGAGGCGATGGCGTGGGCGGTGGCGATGGAGTGGCAGGCGCAGGGCAAGTTCCTCCAGCCGTACACGATGCCGCTGATGAAGCTCGCCACGACGTCCATCGACCAGGTGCCATCGATCCGGCCACAGATGGCGTCGTCGATGCTGCGGACGATGCATACAGACGTCGTGGCGCTCCGGGCGGACGCGGAGGACGAGCCCGAGCTTGCGGCCAAGGAGGCGGCGGCGTACGACCCGCTGATATCCTGGCTCGCGGATGCCGAGGGCGTCCAGCTGAACGCCACCTCGAGCCTCGTCGTCGAGCAGGAAGAGGACGCTTCCGAGACACTACCGAGACGCTTATGAGACACTACCGAGACGCTTCCGAGACGCTTCCGTGACACTACCGAGACGCTTCCGAGACACTTCCGCGACGCTTCCGAGACGCTTGCGTAGCGCTTGCGAGCCGCTCTCAAGACGCTTCCGACACTTCCGAGACGCTGCCGCGACGCTTCCGAGACACCGACGAGACACTGCCGCGACACTGCCGCGACAACTCCGCGACACTTCCGCGACGCTGCCGAGACATTCGCGAGAGGTTTGACGCTTCCGAGACACTGCCGCGACACTTCCGAGACACTTCCGAGATACCGCCGCGACACTGCATGGCGGCTCTTCAGCCGTGCTCGCTCGCGGCGCGAAGAGCCCGAGACACTTCCGAGACACTTCCGAGACACTTCCGAGACACTTCCGAGATACCGCCGCGACACTGCATGGCGGCTCTTCAGCCGTGCTCGCTCGCGGGCCGAAGAGCCCGAGACACTTCCGAGACACTTCCGAGACACTTCCGAGACACTTCCGAAGCCGTGCTCGCTCGCGGGGCGAAGAGCTCGCCGTGAACTCCCAATCACACACACACACACACACACACACCGCTCACCCACGCGCACCGGGCCTTGCACTTTAAATGCCGTGGGGCTCCTGTCGTTAGACGTGGAGACGCGAGGGTTGCCCCCCCTTGCCCCACCACCTCGTGTGTGTGGAGAAGTTTACCTTACCTTACCTTACCTCCCAATCCCCCATCTCCCCCGCAGCCGCCCGCTGCCGCTGCGGCTGCCGCGCGGGTCCTCGGCGCGGCCGACGATTGGACGCTGGCGGCGCTCGATTCGGTGACTGGGTCGTGCAAGTCGTTTGTCCTGGCCCTCGCGCTCTATCGCCGGCGGCTGAGCGCGCGCGAGGTGCGCATCGCCGCGCGCGTACCCGATGTGGGGAGAGACGGGGAGGTATTAGATGGGGAGATGTGGGGAGAGATGAGAACGCCGAGGTGTGCGTCGCTGCGCGCGTACCAGACATATGGGGAGATATGGGGAGATATGGGGAGATACGGGGAGATATGGGGAGGTATGGGGAGATATGGGGAGATACGGGGAGGTATGGGGAGATATGGGGAGATATGGGGAGATATGGGGAGATATGGGGAGATTCCGCTTCATAGGTATCTAGGGAATCTCGAGGAATCTCGACGAACCTCGAGGAACCTCGAGGAACCTCCCACTAGGTGTGCGTCGCTGCGCGTGTCGCCGAGCAGTACGAAGCCGCTAGACGCGGAAGACCTCCCCATATCTCTTCAAATCTCCCCGCATCTCCCCACTTCTCCCCCGCAGGACCAGACCTCTGCGGACCTCTCGCCCCCCCCCTATCTCCCCCTATCTCCCCAAATCCTCCCAGTTACGCCGCAAGGTACCTGACCGACCTCTATCTCCCCACATCTCCCCACATCTCCCCACATCTCCCCAAATCTCCCCCATTTCACACCGCCAGGTACCAGACCGACCTCTATCTCCCCCAATCTCCCCCAATCTCCCCCCATCTCCGCTAGGTACCAGACCGACCTCTGGGGCGAAGTCGAGGCGGGACACGATCTCGACCGCGCAGATTTGCAGGTGCGCGTGATTGATTGTCCCGCCACGACGCATCATTGTTCATGGCGGCTGGTAGTGCTTCCAGTGGTGATTGGGCGCGGGTGCGCGTGATTGGTTGTCCCGCCACCGACCCCGAATTGGTTCATGGCGGATGGTAGTGCTGCCAGAGGATGATGACTGGGTGCGGGGTGCGCGCTTCAATCTAGTCCATTCTCACTCCTTAACGGACGGCATGGGCAGGTGTGCGTGTCTCATCTCTCCCTATCTCTCCCCATCTCTCCCAATCTCTCCCAATCTCTCCCCATCTCTCCCCCTCTCTCCCCATCTCTCCCCATCTCTCCCCATATCTCCCCATCTCTCCCCATCTCTCCCCTATCTCCCCATATCTCCCCACATCTCCCCAGGTGCGCGTGTCTGCGGCCTCGGCCTTTCTGCGTGCGCTTCCCCTAGAAGCGGGAGAGGACGCACTCTCGTCTCCCAACCAGCGCCCGAGAGGTCACGCACTCCGCTGCATTCGACCGCTCTCAGCCGCATCCAGCTGCACTCGCCTCCCCTCACATTCCCGCGGTGCTCTGGTGTCCCGCTGCAAGACCGTCTTCCCGCCCTGCGGCCACCTGTGGCCTCGGTGTGCTCATGGCGATCTCCCCGCGATCTCCCCACCCAGACGTCGGTGTGCCCATGACGCAGGCATGCTGCCCGAGGAGGGCGTCGCCGCGCCGATCGTCGACGAGCGCCCGCGCGGAGAGAGGCGCCGAGATCTCGCCGAGATCTCGCCGAGATCTCGCCGAGATCTCGCCGAGATCTCTCTCAAAGGTACAGCCGAGATCTCGCCGCGCCGCCGCGGCCTCCGCACCGCCGTCCCCTTTCCCTCGCCGCAGGGACATGGGCAGTTGGACAGCCTTCTACTACACTGAGGAGCAACAACAGCCTAGACGCGGAACGCGCACTCCAGTCTCCCCACCAGCGCTCGAGAGGACGCGTGCTCCGCTGCATTCGGCTGCTGTACTCCGCTGTCTTCCGTTGCATTCGTAGCCCCCCCTTCACGCGGTGCTCTGAGGACGCTGCACATTCCCGTACTCCCGCCCTGAGCGTGGCGTACTCACCGCGTAGGAGCAACAGAGACGCCTCGGCGTTGACGAGCGTGGACGGCCGCGCGAGCAGCAGCAGCAGCAGCAGTAAGCCCCCCCCCCCCCCCCCCCCTGCTGCTGCTGTTACCTCCGGTCCACACGGGTACTCCCGTGCTAGGACAAGGAGGCCCCACGGTACTCTGCGTACACGGCGTCTCCACACTAGCCGAGTCACACATGTGGCGTGATTGGGATCAAAGCGCTGATTGAGAGTCATGAATGAATGTAAGGTACGGCTCTAAGGTAAGGTAAATTTCTCCACACACACAAAGTGGTGGGGCAAGGGGGGGCGACCCTCGCATCTCCACGCCCGGACACGAGCAGGAGCCCCACGGCATTCAAAGTGCAAGCACTGGCCCGGTGCACGTGGGTGAGCAGCCTGCCCCTCCCTCCCGACAAACCAACTCCCGCACACACACAATCGCACTCTGGCCATCGAATGACTCCGAATGACTCCCTGTGTGTGCTAAGACAGAATCTCCGCAGACATCCAAAACGGGCCGTGCCGCGTTTGTGGTGTCTTCTCAAGCACTAGCATCCGGGCGCCGCACTCGAGTGGGCGGGTCACATCTATGTGGGCCCAGTGTGCGCACTCGGCGCATATGCTAGTGCTATCCTGCCCTATGGGAGGCAGAGGGATGGGGGGAGGGGGGGGCAGAGGTAAGGTGGGGTGAGACTGGGGAGGACCTCAGAGATCCTCCATGAGGGTGGGGTCCGGCCCGAACAGGTCGAAGCCGGTCCCGCCATCGCCGCCGGCGCCGTCGCCCTCGTCCGCCTTGGAGGCGGAGGTCGTCGGGCGGGGCGCCTCGCCCGTCGCGAACCTGCCGCTGAACACGGCGTCGGCCGGCGCCGAGGCGCCGGCAGCCGTGATCAGGTCGGCGACCTTTCGGTCCCTGCAGGCCGCATCAATTTTGCCGCGCCGGGACGGCTCGTAGAGCTCGTTGGCGAGCCAGTCCCGGGCGACCTTCGTCGCCACGGAGCCCAGAGGGACCGTGGCGTACACCAGGTCGCCGAACCTGCTGCCCCCCTCGGGAGGCAGCGAGTAGGCGACCTGAATATTGGACCCGCTGGGGTTGCGCGCCGCCTGCGTCGCAGCCTCTAGGCCGTCCATCACGAACTCGACGTTCTCGCGCAGCTGCTCGTGCGGGTAGTCCGCACGCTCGGCCTCGCTCGCGGCCGCCGCCGCAGCCTTCCTCTCCGCCTTGTTCGCCTTCTGCCGGGCCTTTTTGGCCCTGCGAGCCGCGGCCCGAGCATCCTTCTGCTCCTCCGTCGGCTCCTCCTTCCGCGACGCGGTGCGCTCGACGAACGAGCGCTCCGCCGCCTGCACCGGCTCGCGGTCGCCCGCGGCCTTCTCGGACTTCAGGTCGAAGGTCGCCGTCCCGTAGCCAGGGCACTCATACCTGAGCTGCGACACACCTGCGAGCCTTGCGGCAATGAGGCAGTCTTCCATGTGCGCGCGATCGTAGCGATTCCAGGGTCGTCCGCGGCGCGTTCCCGGCGGCCCGACGGTGGCCGGCGCTTGCGCGCCAGCTCCGTCCGCCGCCGGCTCCGCGGCCGCGGTCCCTGTCATAGCGTGAATGTATGTATGTGTATGTTGTCATGCCCCCGTCCCCCAAAAGCTAGTCGTAGATCGGGCGGGGCTGCACACGTCTGGGTTGCCGCTCCGAACCATCGCGCGTCGGCTCGGAGGATAGCGGCCCCTGCTTGGTCCGTCGGTTGTGGCTCTCCTCTCCAAGGCTTTCGTGTTTCGAAGCATGCAGGAGCTGCTCTCATCCGAGGCAGCACTCGGTCAGGAATGGCGACCCAAGGACGTGCGCAACCGCCCGACCCATAAACAGTTCGGAGCCCCCCATTAGCCGCGCACGCCGCAGCAGTAGCGGTGCGAGCCGCAGCAGTAGCGGCGAGGCCACTCCAGAGCCCATTGCAGCCGCACCAGCAGGCGGCTCGTGATGGACGGCCTGGAGGCTGCGACGCAGGCGGCGCGCAACCCCACAGGGTCCAACAGTCAGGTCGCCTACTCGCTCCCTCCCGAGGGGGGCAGCGGGTTCGGCGACCTGTGGTGTACGCCACGGTCCCTCTGGGCTCCGTGGCGACGAAGGTCGCCCGGGACTGGCTCGCCAACGAGCTCTACGAGCCCAAAAACGATTGCAACGGCGTCGCAACACAACGGGGCAACGCAACTCGCAAGCAATCGCGGATCGTCGATCGACGGTCACGGCGCGTCGGCGGCGCCAGGTTTTACATGTCGCGTTTACGATACTATAGTATTTACTAGGGCTCCTGTCGTTAGACGTGGAGACGCGAGGGTTGCCCCCCCTTGCCCCACCACCTCATGTGTGTGGAGAAGTTTACCTTACGTCAGTACCTTACCTTACCTTAGTAGAGCGTATTTACGGCGCTTTACTTTAAAGCCGTAGTAGCTTTAGGCGACAAGAGAGCAGGGGCCGGGCGCACCGCACCACCCGCGCTTGCCGTACTCTTTAAAACCTCACAGCGCCGCGCCGAAGATCTTCACATCCGCACACGACTGCCAGACCTGAGCGCTCGTCTCACAGTCGTAGCGAAAGCCGAGGACGTACTCGCCTGGCGCCAAATGCGCGGGCACGCGGAGGTAATCGTACATTGTTATGTTGTGCGTCCAGTCACCCGTGCAGTTGGCCTGGATGGTGTAGCTCTTGGGCGGGTGATTCGGGTACCCTGGCTCGTGGCATGGAGGCTTGAAGGCCCAGCCGGACGTGGCAGCACCCGCCACGTCCGGGACTCCGAGCATGCGCCAGGTGCCTCCGACCGGCAGCGTCCCGTTGCTCACATCGACGGAGTCGAGCTCGATCATGCTGCCATCCGAGATCATCAACTTGGAGTTGCCGGCGAATGGCATGGGCGTCTGCTGGAAGCAGGCCTCGGTCAGATCCGATGTCAAGGGGCAAAGCCGAAACTGGTAGCCGCCGCCGTGGTTGGCACGGAAACTCGACCTCGTCTCGACCACCGAGCCGGTGCGCCACACGGTGCCGGTGTCGTACTTGGGCAAAACCTGAGAGCCGAGGTCGCCCAGCTTGGCGTATTTCGTATCGGTGAACTCGCCCTTCCCAGGCGTGGCCTGGTACGAGCCGCTCGCGCGGCCGCAGGCGTCGTACACGGGGGCGTGGCCGGGCGCACGCCAGGGGTTGAATTTCGTCCAGTCATCCTTGGAGCCCGCCACGGCCGCACGGTTGATGGTCCGGTGCGCAGGGTCATTGTTGGTCGCCTTCATGCCCGCGCCGCACCGGTCGATCCGATTGGGGTTGGACGGGCCCTTGTCGCCGCCGTCAGGCAACGGGCAGCCGATCGTCGTCCCCACATTAAACCACAGGCAGGTCTGCGCTGAGGCGCACACGTCCGTGCCATTTCGGCACGCGCAAGGAGCGGTGCCGTTCCCTGGACCTTCCCAATGATATGGCGCCTTCCCGTTCGCCCACTCGGGGAGCTCCGAGTCGATGGCGTTGCGAGGCTTCGGCTTGATCAAGTTGCTGTGCGCGGCCGCCAGCGGGAGGAGGGCCAAGAGGAAGGCAAAATTCATCACGCGCGAGCTCGACCGCGTGGGCCAGCAGCTAGGCATGGCGCAGTCAGCAGCCAACTCGGCCGAACCGATCGAGACCTTGCCCCCCCCCATGGGCCGCGCGTGGGTCTTGGCTTTCTTTTTTCTTCGACGCCTCATCCTCGCCCTGAGCGCCGCGTGGGGCACCGCTGTGCGAATGGAGCCGAAAGCCCACCTCGGTCAGAGTTACAACAAACAACCCGACGTGGACGCGGACAACATTGGCTCGCACGGCACGCACTATTGCGGGGACGTCAAAGTCGTCTGTCCCCTCAGCAGCAGCGGGGAGCACGGTCGGAAGGGCGCTTTTGTCGCTTTCGGCAACACTGAATCATTCTACCGGAACATGGTCGAGGGGCATGGGCCCTACTGCGAGGAGGGGGAGGGGGGGAAGGGGGGGGGGGGGGAGGGGGAAGGGGGGGGAGAGGAAGAAGGGGGGGGGGAGGGGTACCGGGGGGGCGGCATGGAGGGGGAGAGGAAGAGCAAGGGCGAGAGAGGGCAAGGGACCGGGCGCTGGCATACCAGGGGGGGCAGGGTGGTGGGCGGCGACCGCCGCATACCGTCCTACGGCGGGGACTACACCAAAGAACCCCACACTTCGATTACCATCGCATCGCCGGACGCGCCTGCTACTCATGAGTTCGCCGTCGACCCCTCTCTGCCCTTCACTGCCGAACCGCACCTCGCAGAGCACGACTGTGACAGCAGCGCGGTATGGGTGGACGCTAGACGGGCGAAGACGGTCACACAGGAGCGACACACGGACGACACAAGACAAGACACGGACTAGTGTTGTGAGAGAGAGTTCGGTTGTAAAATTCGTTTCTTTCAGACGGTGCGGCGACCGCATCGTGAAATTCTTTCATGAGAGCATTGTAAAATTCTTTCAGACGGTGCTTGAGGGGTACAGCCTGGAAGGGGTACAGCCTGGAAGGGGGTGCAGCCTGGAAGGGGGTGCAGCCTGGAAGGGGGTGCAGCATTTCCAGAAGGTCAGCGCCGCCGCTGCCGGCGCCCACGCCCTCTCCACCCTGCTCGTTGCGAGCCGCCGGCGCTTGCGGGCACTCGATGGTACTGCCTCGCCACTGGCCGGCCGGCCGCGCACCGCGCAGCAGCACCCGATTACCCTGCTCGTTGGACACGCTCGACGCTCACTCGCAAGTCCTCTGTGAACAGGCGATCAGCACGATCCCGAGGAGCGGTACGCCAGCACGCGCGCGCACCAGCTGCGCGCCACAGCGCGATCACTGTGACGCACCTGGAAACTCTGGCGGCATATTGCTAGTGCACCCGCCGTCGTCTAGCGGCTCACTCCCTCGTTTGCTTCTAATCGCGGCACCGCCTGAAACACTGAGCACCAATCGCGGCACACGCCTGAAACGCAAATCGAGCTGTCGTCGCTGTGCCGCAGGTGCTGCAGGAAGGCGTCATCATGACTCTTCGCTGGCTGCTGCTCGCCGGCCTTGTCATACTGTGCCGCGGCTTCGCGGCTGTTGGCGGAGGCTGCGAAGACGCGGACGACACCACAGTCATGCAGGCCGCTCGAGAGATGGGGCTCGGCGACGTCATGAGCTGCAGCGACGTTGCGATCCAAGGCCACTGCAGCCACCCGCAGGCAAAGGAGGGTTGCTGCAAGACGTGCAATCGGGGACGCTTGCTTGGCGGGCAGCCTTCGTGCCAAGGCGCTGGTTCTCGTTCCTTCATGAGCGAAAACTGCGGCGTGGGAAGCTGCTCCCAGACCGGAAAAGACGAGCCGTGCGAGCCGTACGGTCCCTGCTGCGACCATGAGGGCTACAAGTGTGTGCATCGTGACCACGACTGTACCCAGACCTGCGGCTCATGGGGATGCAGCTTTACCTGCACTGACTGGTATGGGTGCAACTTCATCGACCACCCCTCTCCGCCGCCATCGCCGCCGCCGCTGCCTCCGCCGCTTGAGGTGGTCAAGCCTCACATCGTCGCGAGCACTCAGTCCTGCCCTCTCGGCCAGTCGTGCAGTCCCATCACCTGGACGGACCTGCCTGACACAGTCGTGGACAAGGGTTTCTACCTGTGCTCGGCTCTCAGTTCCTGGCGCCGCGGGCTGCCGTTAGTTGAAATAATTGATTATAGGTACCTGCGACCCCAACCCGAATCCGACTGGCACGGTGACAAAGGTGTGCCCGCTTGGCAGCCTGGAGCTCGCGCCGAGCGGAGACATCTCGGGTTCGAGGCCGACGCTCTACAAGGGCAACCTAGCCTGTGTGGCCCCGAAAGATGGCACGCAGTGCGACTTCCGCCACCCGCAAGACGGCACGCCGGACGCCGGAGCGCCGGACTACACGCCGTGCTCCGTGTCGTACACGTGCTCCCACGAGAGCCCTCACGGCGATGACAAGTATCACCACCGGCCCCTCAAAGCCTGCCCGCGAGGCACGTGGAGCTGCGTTGCGTACAACGGAATGGACGCCGACGGCCCGGATGGGGTCCTCAAACACAGCACCGTTGGCTCAGATCCTGGCAAACAAGACCGCGCCGCGGTGCCTTGCTGGTTTCCATCGCTCTCGCCTCTTGGCCTCGAGCTGCAGGGAAAGAAAACCAAGCCGGCCGCCCAACCCGATCTTGTCGAGCAGTGCAAGCACCCGCCCTTCGTCTTTGCTTACGACGACCCAGGTCCAGTTTCGCGCACGCCAGAAAGGCCAGGCGTGCTGCCGTCGACTCCGACAACCTTTAGCTGCCTCAAGATCGCCGGCGACGACGAGACGGATATCGCGCCGCCAGAGTACTCGACCTTTCCCCAGACGGACATTGCGACGCCGTGCGACCCAGCGGGCGGCGACACCTCCCTCGGCTCCTGCAACGACGACAACGACTGCCAGGCAAAGTGTGACATCGACGAGAACTGCCTCGGCTACTCAGTGGAAGCAGTGCGGCGCGGAGCACCGGTGACGGTAAACATTGGATCATCGTCGTCAAACAGCAAAACAAAGGATGTGGGGCTGTCAGGCTTGCAATGCCCAGAAACGGTCAACCGGGACAACTGGCTTGGCACGGACACCTACGACGACACATTTGCCATTTCTCAGGAGGGCACCACCGTGACTGCGCGCCGGACTGACTCAAACTCTGGATGGGGATTGCAGCTGCAATTCGTTTGCGACTCGCCGGACTCCGTCGCGGCAGACACGAATGTGGTGGGCGATTGCAGCTCCGCGCCAGGGGGGAACTCCGACCTCGGCGTCTGCTCGAGCCAGGCGGACTGCGAGGCGCAGTGCAACTCCAATGCAGAGTGCTTGGGCTACGTTGACATGACTGCAAAGAACTGGGGTTACATGCTCAAGAACTACGTGGGCCCGGACTGTGTGGAGACACGATCCGGCTTTGTCCTCCACGTGCCTGTCCAGGAATCCTTTGCGCTCAAGAAGTACCTCGGCCCTGCGTGCGTGGAGCACAAACCCGCCGCACGCATCCGCGCCAAGCCGGCAGCTGTCGAGCCAAAGCGCGGCTTTTTGATCGACCAGACGCTCGGCACACTGCAGGAGTGGAATCGCCAGTGCGGAGAGACGTTCTGGTCTCTAGGCACGTACGACTGGATGGCCCTCGAGGCCGGCATCTCGGGGTGCGTCGGCGACGTTTGCCGAACAGATCCTGAGGCGAAGGCAGGGGCATGCGACATCCCCGGTGCACCCGGCTGCGAATTCAGCATGGCGCGGTACTTGCCGTTCTTCAGCTACGCCATCCAGCTTCGTCTTGTTGACGTAGCCAAAGGATCTCAGGCCCGCGCTCCCCTACTGCCCCATGCCCTCTCCCTACCCTTCACCATGCCGCCTTACCGATCCCGTTTGATGATCAGATGTACACCTTTCCCGAGGATTCCGCGCTAGACGTCACCGGCGCGACGCAGGACGTTGGAGTGGTGAGCATCCTTCAGACGAAGAACCTGCAAGCGACGGCAAGTGTCATTGACACCTTTGTTGACACTGCTAAATGGGAAGCCTCCTCTTCCAGTAGCCGTCGCACGCTCTTTGCGCCGTTCATGGACGACCCGATGCCGCCACCAACGTCCCCTTGTGACAAGGGCTTTGTTCCAACGTGCGAGCACGCGAAGGGCTTTGGACTCTGCCGTTTTGGGAAGGAGGCGTGCCCAGAAACTTGCGTCGCAGAGGTCCGCCTATCGAGTCCGCCCAGCCATCTGCGCCGCACAGCGACAATAAGCTTCACACAGCTGAGACATGCCGTTGTTAATCGCCCCTATCAGGTACTTCACGCCTGCCCGGAAACGTGCGCGTTGCCACGCAACGTGACTGAGGGTCACGGCCTCTGGGACGAAACCAGCGAGTTGTTTCCTGCCGATTACGACACGCCCGTGCCCGAGGCTGCGAAGGCTGCAATCTGTGACGCATGCAGCGCGTACCCCGGACTCAAATGCTGCCACAACCATCCGCATGTCGACCGCCGCCGTCTGACCACCGGGATCGGGAGCTGCGACTCCCACATGATCGAGTCCAGCTTCGGCACCGCCTTGCTACAAGCCCAGTCTGCCCACGCGATGAACATCGCTACTCTGACTGGCGGATCGACTATGGAGAGCAACTCGGGCTTCATACCGTCCTTCTCCTACAAGTTCTACGTCACGGAGATGGGAAATTACGTCAACGCCCTCACGCGCCTCCAGACGGCGCTCGAGAAGCAGGTCGAGAAGGAGACGGAACTACAGCTGTACATCGCGCAACTCAGGATTGAGCAGGTCCCAGCGCGTCAGCACGATTCACAAATAGTGCCGTCCTTTAGTACTAGTAACGTCAATTATTTAGTAACGTATACCCGGCGGCTCGCAGGCGAAGCTGAGTGGCAAGGAGAGTGTCACCGCAAGGACGCAGGAGATGACGATGAAGACGATCACCACGGCGATCACTGGGATGGACGCTGCTATGAAGGGTATCAAGAGCATTGGAGGCCAGATGGACGACACCATGGTGCAGATGAAGAAGGATATCGACGCGTGGATTGTCGAGCAGCAGGTGAAGGCGATCATGGACCTGTGCGTCACCTTATGTTCGTTTGCTCTCTCGGGGGCGGGAACAGCGTTTCAGCTGAAGGCTGATGGCGCAGGGATCGGCGCGAAGTTCCCGTGGGGGGGAAAGAAAGAAGGATCTGGTTCGCCGGTGTAGATGCACACGCACACCCCCAGGCCGTAGGATTTGGCTTGCAATTAATCACGCCGGGCGCTGCCTTCACCCAGGGTGGGAAGCTCCGAATGTCGATCTTTTGGGGCTCGGGGGCTTCCAGGATCCGACGCCACCCAAACGCAGCTGGGCGGGCAAGGAGGCTTCATACAATGGTGCCTTTCACGTGACCAAGGGCATCGGCATCTTCATCAACGGCGCCGTTAGCATCTTCGAGGCGAGCAAGGCGGTGTCCAAGGCCAACGGGCTGAGCAGTGACGTACGGGACGCCGCCGGATTGTCCGTCAAGGCCATGGAAGAACAGTTCGACTGGAACGTGACATAGATGCTCACCGGAGCGGCACCGGACGGTTTGCTCTCTCACAGCGCGCGTTTGATGCAGCTATCCACCCCTGCAGGCCGAGCAATGTCTCCCTGATACCAAGCAGCAACGACTCCCTGGCTGACCTCTCGACCCTGGCGTTCATGCTCAATGACCTGCTGCCCAAGCTCGGCACAGGATACTGGTCGGAGATTTACGCGAACTCAGGCGCGCGTCGTGCTGTTTCGGCACCAATTCGCACACAGCGTGCCGAGGTCCCCCTCTTTCAACACAGGCGACATGATCGAGCCATACACGACGGGATACAATACAGAAATCAATGTTGCGGCAAAAAAGTGGCTCAAGCAGATGCGCGCGCAGTGCGACTACGGCAACGGTGCGCCCCTGCGCACACAGCGCTCTGTATCTACAAAAGCGCTGACCCCGCTGCCTCCCCTCACACACAGACTACGTGACCCACGGCGTCCGCTTTGTCGCTGGCGTACAGCAGGCGCGTGCGGTTCTTGTGCTCCTTCTCTGCCCCCGCCGCTACTCACGCGGAGTGCATTGCGCTTTGTGGATAGGCGTTGATCAACCTCGCTCAGGAGGACGCAAACAAGAAGGTTGAGAAAGCCATCGAGGACGCCTTTGGCATCTCCAGCGAGGCGAATTTTGACACTTGGGCGGCCGAGAAGAAGCTGCTGATCGGGGCAAGCCGCCCCCTGCTACTGCCCTCTGGCTCTAAACTCAATCTGATCTGCCTGATCGCTCTGTGCCTCACGCTCGCTCCCTCTTCCTGACACCTCTCAGACTCAGATGTCTACCATGGCGCTGCAGCTATTTGTGACCACGCGCCAGCTCTGCCAGTCTTTTGCCTACCAGACGACCCAGCTCTTCCAGCAGTGCGTTGTCGGCAGCATCGGAGTCAAGTCGCTCAACAACCCGCTCGACGAGCTGTGCGGAGCTTTCTCGAACGGCACCGCCTACTTCAAGCCGTTCGAATACGATGTTGTCGCCGGCGCGTCATACGGCGACCTCGATGGCTTCACGACGGAGGCGAAGGACTACGTCAAGGGTCTCCAGACGATGTTCTCGCAGGTGAGAGACTCTGTCACTCGTTGGGCTCACTCCAGACGATGTGCTCGTTCGAGCTCCTTCCGCCAGCTCTCTTAGCAGTATCCTGAACATAGGCGACGGCCGTCGAGGAATGCGTCACAAAAGCGGTTTGGGGCAAAGGCACTTCAGCTATCAATCGGCCCTTCCTCTCGCTCATCATTCGCCCGGAGAATCTTCCGCCGTGCAATGGAACGGACGGGTACGTCCGCACCGGTGAGCCAGTCGTATGCAGCATCGATTCTGATGCGAAATCGAATGGGGCTCCGTACCCGACAGGGCCGGACGACGGCCCGCTCATTGAGTTCTGGCACAACGACTCGTGCCTTCCAAATGCAAGTGCAGCACCGTTGTCGAGCGGAGAGACGTGCTGCCAGACCATCGCTTGGACCAATAACTGTGCGCGCCCCACTAAACATACCCAGCCTACCGCATCCCGACCCGCACACCAGCACAGCTCAAGTTGTGCCTCAGACCGCGCTTCCACCGCCTTCGCGCAGGCACGCGAGACCCACCGGAGTCGAAGCAGCCTTTCATCTACGTCAGCGACGACGCTTGGGCCACGTTCAAAGATACGTCCGACGCTGCTACGTTTGGCCGGCTCAACATCGAAATTCGCCCGGACATGGTCGTGCCCGGCACTAAAGATTACAACGACCTCCTCCTCCGTGGGTTCGCGTTCTACATGCCAGGGGCGGTCTTCGAAGAAGGAGAGACGGCGAAAGCTACTCTTACGCCCAATGGGCAGATGCAACAACGCGTGTACGACGAGACGCGTGAGCCGGTGTGCGGGGGCTATGGCAACCAGAATCTGTGCATGTATCGCAACTTCACTTTCGTCGCAGCGCCAACCGAACCCCCCCCGGAAGGAACGACGGAAACGACGCAAGTCGTCTCGTACAGCATGTCGTACTACAATCCGAACTCCGCCGGCACCTGCAATCGCATTGCAACCCAGCCAGTGTTTTACGCGGGAAGAAAAGTCATCGGGCCGAAGTGCGATCCGCCGTCGGATGATGATAAGGCTTGCTACCAGTACTGCACCGATCAGGACTTGAGCAGCCTCGAGCAGGGCGACATTCGCTCCGACGGCGATTCGGCAGGGCCGTTCAACTTTGCGGCCCTCTTCACCTCGTACGTGCTCGAGGTCATGTTGTTAGCGCTCTAGCTAGCGCTATTCATACCTCATACGCCCAATATGCTGCCTCTCCCATTCGCTCATCAGTGCCCTCGCGCAGGTTGGTGCTCGCGGCGTCGACCGCCTCAGCGGCGTCGACCTCACAAACGTCGAGCAGATCGAGCTTGGTCCGTCCGAGCTTTCATTGGCACGCACGCCAAACAGCGCACTCACATTCCTCCCCACTTTTGCGTGCATAGGCTTATGGCTCAAGTCGCACACAACCATTGACGCTCCGCTTAGCTGCGACATGCAAAACTGCTGATCGTCGAGCCAATAGTCGCCCATGTTGTACGGCACCCCAGAGTCCGTCGGCGCAAGCGCAACTAACGGAGAATGCAATGATGATGCGCTGCTGCCGCTCCCTGGTTCCCTGGACTGCTATCGTGGTCCAAGGGAAGCCGGGCGGGCTGAGCTGGTTGGCACAGGTCCTAGCGTTCACCTGTAGGAGCGCGCTGGATATGGATATGGTAGCCTTGGCCGGGAGGGAGCGTTCGCGTTTCACGCTAGTTGCCCAAGGCCCCTCGCACTTCTTAGTCGCCCTAGCGTTCACCGCTAGGAACGCGCTGGACATAACGCGCTGGACATTGCCCGAGCGCCGAGGTCTTGTGCCATTGTGCCTCTGTATGCTGTATGTGGAATGAGCTCTGGTGTGTTTAGATGGACCAGAGAGAAGGCGTTGTGAGAGCACCTCTCATATATGAGGTCTTGTGCCATTGTGCCCCTGTATGCTGTATGTAAAATGTGCTCTGCCGGCCGTTTTGTGTGTTTAGAGATGGACCAGAGAGAAGGTTGTGAGAGCACCTCTCATATACGTGAATGCTTGCCTGCGGCGAGGGCGGTCTCGAGTGCACGGAGCCAAGCGCCTCGAGCCGCCCCCTCGCAGTGGACGCAGTGGAAAGAAGGAGACGACATGTGACAGCATCGCAGCATTCGTGCACGTCCTCCTCGACGTGAACGACATGTGCGGCGGATCCTCGGCGAGAAGAATGTTTCGAACCACTCGAGTGACTGCGACCAGCAGCAGCAGCAGCAGCAGCAGAAAGGCGCGCACCTGCCGCTCTCACGCAGCCCGCGATCAGCCTGCCGTGCGCGATCGAGGCGCGCAGACCTCTCCGAGCGTCCGACAGCACCGCGCAGTCTCCTGGCCCTCGTTGGTGCTTGCACCAGCCCCACCCAGCAGGCACAGCAGTGCAGGATGAGGCGCCCGCAGAAGCGCTCGCAGAGCGGCGCGCAGCGCCGCGCACGCCACGCCGCGGGTGGTCGGACGAGCGCAGTGCGCGTCGGCGGCGAGCCGCGGCGCCAGCCGTCGCGCGAGAGAGCGGCGCCGCCGCGTGCGCGCAGCAGCCGCCGCGGCAGAGTTGAGCCGCGGCGACGGCCGCAACTGATAGCTGCCATTGGCGGTTGCACACACACACACACACACACACACACACACACACACACACACACACACACACACACACGCACACACACACACACACACACACACACACACACACACACACACACACACACACACACACACACACCACACCGCATCCGTGGCGCGGGGCTCGTCTTCGAAAAGTCGGGCATGGCTCTACCCGCAACTCTCTCGCTAACACGCGCACCCCGTCGACCTTACGATGGGCGCTGCGGTCGCACGCCTCCCAAGTCATATGCCACGGCGTGCGATCTAGATTCAGCACACGCGCCTCTGCTCGCATACACTCATACAATGAATTGACATCTCCCATGAGTGCGAGTTAGGGCTAGCAGTAGGCAGCAGCCTGGAGGAGAGCGTCCATAGACACCTCACTGACATGACCCCACACACGGTCTGACTCGCCCGCTGGCGGCGAGATTGCTAGAGGCGGAGCAAGCCTGCTCTAGTCTCACATGTTACTTCCTGTCGTCTGTTGTCTTGTTGTGCCCTTGTTTGTGTTCTTTGGCACCTTGGAGTGCTGGGGGGGGCGACAGGGAGAATGTGGCCCTGAGTTATGTGTACGCCAACTCCGGGTGTGTGGCAGCCAGCTAACCTGGCTGTGTGTCTTGTGAGCCTGTGTCTGTGTGCTGTCTGTGTGTCGCTCGTGCGTGTCGTCATCATCTGTCCAGCGTCCACCCATACCGCGTTGGTGTCCAGTCCGAGCCTGACTGTTCTTCACCTTCCTAACTAACTAACTACCTTTCTACCTAACCTAACACACACACACATACACACACACACACACACACACACACACACACACACACACACACACACACACACACACACACACACACACACACACACACACACACACACACACCGCTCACCCACGCGCACCGGGCCTTGCACTTTGAATGCCGTGGGGCTCCTGTCGTTAGACGTGGAGACGCGAGGGTTGCCCCCCCTTGCCCCACCACCTCGTGTGTGTGGAGAAGTTTACACCCTTACCTTACCTTACCGTCCTCCCATCTCCTCCTTTGGCCTGTCTGTTTTCTTTCTTTCCTTCTTTTCGGCGGCGCGGGCTCGCTGTACGCATCACCCTCTCAGTGCAAACAAACAGCTTCCTTAGCAGCGTCGCTCAACATCGTCATAGACGTTGCCGGGGTTCCCTCTCTTACCCTTCTGCCCCCCCCCCCCCCCCCTCTCACGGGCAGCTCGGCGCCGACTGGTCACTCCCTCCGATGAGGTTTGTAGAGCAGATTCGTGACCCCTTCCCCACCTCAGTGGGGGCGGCGCAATTGCGCGTGCACTTGGCGACGAATGGAACACAGAGGCACTCGGCGCATCACCCATCCCAATGCATGATGCATGTGGGGCCGCGCATTTTGGCTTTCTTTTTTTCTTGATAGCGCCTTCGAGGTAAGTGTGTGTGTGTGTGTGTGGGCAGTAGGTGGGCGAGCTTCAAGCGAGCTCATCTCGATCGTCAAGGCGTGGCTACGCGCGGTCTTCCGCGGGGGGAGCTTCGTCGACGGGTGCGGGACTGCGGCGCAGACAGTGCTGCGGCGATGCCTCCGGCTGCTGCGGCGAGTGGTGTGCTGCTCGCTGCGATGGCGAAGAACTCGTCTCGTCACACGCCAAGGGCTTACGCTCTGTCGAGACGTGAGGCGTATGCACCCAGGAGGGGAGGGCGCATGCGTAACGACGCTGCTAGAGATGCCTTTCGGGGCCCATGCTCTAGCCTCGCACGTTACTTCCTGTCGTCTGTTGTTTGTTGTGCCCTTGTTTGTTTCTCTTGGCACCTTGGAGTGCTGGGGGGGGCGACAGGAAGAATGTGGCCCTGAGTTATGTGTACGCCAACTCAGGGTGTGTGGCAGCCAGCTGGCTGTGTGTCTTGTGAGCTTGTTTGTGTCTGTGTGTCGTTCGTGCGTGTCGTCATCATCTGTCCCGCGTCCACCCATACCGCGTTGGTGTCCAGTCCGAGCCTGACTGTTGTTCATCTTTGTACCTACCTACCTTGTTAATAATAATACAGACGGATGGACACTTGCTGTGGCCACATGACGCCCATTGTAATTCTTTGCAAATCGACCCGTTTCCCATCCAATATCTGGCGACAGCGGGGGACCCCGCAGCAGCAAACCTCAGCAGCAAACCCGCCCCCGCAGGTAGGTCTGCCTCTCATTGGCTGTCGCGAAGCCGTTCCACTCGTAGAATGGAACGCTGATCACCCTCCAGTCAGCCGCCGCGAGGAGGCGCCGCTTGAGCAGCGTTGGCCCGTTGGGTCTGCGCACGCCCCGGCCGTCGGGCAGCAGGAAGTGAGAGGGGCCGTCCACCTCGACCGCGACGCGTGACGAGGGCAGCGCCAGGTCGAGCGAGTAGCCGGTGCGCAGCTCGAGATGCTCCTCCTCGAAGCCGGAGCGGACGGCGGCGAGGGCATCCGCAACCGAGCGCTGCAAGCCTGATGGCCGAGCTATGGTCGCCACCATAGCGTCGCGGCAAAGCTGGCGCTCGGAGGTGGGGAGAAGATGCTGCCCGTCTGCTCCTCGCTCAAGGGAGAGCCAGAGCTGCCACTGGTAAACCTGAGAGCGGCCCCCGACGCTCCACCTTGACGGATCCCGCGCGAGCGAGTCGTTGATCACGCGCGAGCATACGGCAAGCAGCGCCTGGTGATAATGGTCTGCCGTCGCATACGCCCACACCGTGTTGGCCAGGTTCTGCGGCTTGAAGCCAGCCAGCCTGCTGCGCACCGCCGCCGCCGCCACCGCCGCGTACAGCGCGTCCGCAGCCACGCCCGCTGTCGCGTACGCCCACGCCGTGTTGGCCAGATCCTGAGGGTTGAAGCCAGCAAGCCCGCCGCGCACCGCTGCCTCCGCCACCGCCGCGTACAGCGCGTCCGCAGCCACGCCCGCCGTCGCATACGCCCACACCGTGTTGGCCAGATCCTGAGGAGTGAAGCCAGCCAGCCTGCTGCGCACTGCCGCCTCCGCCACCGCCGCGTAGAGCGCGTCCGCAGCCACGCCCGCCGTCGCGTACGCCCACACCGTGTTGGCTAGGGCCTGAGGAGTGAAGCCAGCCAGCCTGCTGCGCACCGCCGCCTTCGCCACCGCCGCGTACAGCGCGTCCGCAGCCACGCCCGCCGTCGCGTACGCCCACACCGTGTTGGCCAGGTTCTGCGGCTTGAAGCCAGCCAGCCCGCCGCGCACCGCCGCCTCCGCCACAGCCGCGTACAGCGCGTCCGCAGCCACGCCCGCTGTCGCGTACGCCCACGCCGTGTTGGCCAGATCCTGAGGGTTGAAGCCAGCAAGCCCGCCGCGCACCGCCGCGTCCGCCACCGCCGCGTACAGCGCGTCCGCAGACACGCCCGCCGTCGCATACGCCCACACCGTGTTGGCTAGGGCCTGAGGAGTGAAGCCAGCCAGCCTGCTGCGCACCGCCGCCTTCGCCACCGCCGCGTACAGCGCGTCCGCAGCCACGCCCGCCGTCGCGTACGCCCAGACCATGTTGGCCAGGTTCTGCGGCTTGAAGCCAGCCAGCCCGCCGCGCACCGCCGCCGCCGCCACAGCCGCGTACAGCGCGTCCGCAGCCACGCCCGCCGACGCGTACGCCCACACCGTGTTGGCCAGCGCCTGAGGGTTGAAGCCAGCCAGCCCGCTCCGCACCGCCGCCTCCGCCACCGCCGCGTACAGCGAACGCACCACCCCTACTTGCAGCTGGCACTTTGCCGCACCGTGAGCGACGTTCGCCAGTGCTCGCGCATTGCACGAAGAGACGAGGTCAAGCGTGCGCTGCACCAGCTGCTCAAGCTGCCCCTCGTGCCGCCGCTCGATGCGCTGCTTGCCCAGTTTGTTCCACAGGTTTGCAGCGTGGATGTGGTTCAAGCTCGTGCTGTGGGCAGCAGAGAGCGCGAGCAATGCGTCAGCGCTGCCGGCATTTGAGATGTGGATGCTGAGCTGCTTTGCGTTGAGCTGACCACCGGCAGCAGAGGTGTGCCTCTCTTCGCGCGATCCCGCACCACGCATCGGCGGACTCAACCGGCGGTCGCTGTGCTGAGGCTGCCCCTCGCCGCGGCGGTCGCGCCGGTCATGGTCGCGCCTGGGATCATGGTACCGATCCTCGCGCCGATCGCGCCAGTCGCGCTCGCGCTCGCCTCTGCTCCGACGGTCGTCGTAACCGCGCCGCTCGTCATGCCGCCCGTCATGATGCGGCCGTTGCTCGCCTTCCCAACGCTCATTGCGCCGTCGCAGCTCATCCCGCCGCGGCTCATCGCGCGATCGCGACCGCCGTCGCGACTCGCCCCGCCATCGCCACTCTTCGCGTCCCCACTCGTCGCGCCGTTGCTCAACACGCCAGCGACGCTCCTCGGTCCGATGGGACATGTGTCGTCGCGCGCGAACGTACGAGTATCGGATCCAGCGAAGGAGGAAGAATTTAAAAAAAACAACTGGCCTCACAGCAGACAGGCTCGACACAGGTGCGAACTGGAGGAAGAATTTTAAGAAAGAATTTGTGATTGACGTCGCCCTTATCCGGAACCGACCCTATCCAGTGCTCAAGTGCTCAACAACGGGGCACGGGACCGGCGCGCGCTGGCACTACTCGAGTAACACAAGAGAAAAGAAACCACCGAGAGGGAGAAAGGGAGAGAGCACACAACACACAACACACACACACACACACACACACACACACACACACACACACACACACACACACACACACACACACACACACACACACACACACACACACACACACACACACACACACACACACACACACACACACACACAATGGACTAGCATGCGCAGGGCGAGAGAGTACGATCGCAGAATAGTGCCGGCGCTAAGTGTGGGGAGCATGATTTGCGTGTGCAGTACAACTCCAATGCGTGATGTATGTATGTATGTAGAAAGATGAACAACAGTGATGTACTCGAGTACGTACGTGTGTGTGGGCAGTACGACTCCAAGACCTTTTCAACCGGCTGTGTCCCCCCCCCCCCCCCCCCCCCACACACACACACACACCGCCCCGGTCGCTCCAATCGAACCGGCGCACGGTTCTCCTCCACCTGCCCCCATCGAAAGGTACCCATCCCGACCACGCGAAGCAGCCCGAACCCAACAAGAACACAGCCGAGGCCTGGAGGCGCCAACAGAACACGCCCATTCAGGAGTCCGCCGAAGCCGCCGTGCCGCTCGTGGCGCCAGCAGCTGAGCCGATCGCTATGGACACGGCCAGTCTGGCGCACCTTCTCTATGTCGTCGGCTCCATGTGCCTCGGCGTCGGCCTTTGCGTCCTCGGCGTGCTTTGCTTCTTCTTGCCGCACACCGCCGCCGAGATGTACGGCCTCCCGCTGCAGGCGGAGTGCTCCGCCCCGGCGCGCCAGGACGAGGCGTGGGTGCTGGCGACTGGCTTCCGCGACCTCTTCCTCGGAATCATAACGCTTGCGCTCTACCTCACACAGCCGCAGGCGATGCGTGTCTACACGTCTTGCCTCGTGCCGCTGCCGCTGGCGGACGCGCTCCTCGCCCTGGCCTACCAGGCAGAGCCTCTCGCCGTGGCGACTCACCTCGGCGGCACATTCGGAGTGCTGGTCTTAGCGATCGCGGCGCGGTGCGACCCGGCGCTGGATTCCGCGGGCAAGGGCCGATCCGCGTGAGGCCGTTTTTTTGCCGTGTGCACAAAATGGGCGGTGTGCATCTGTGTTGCGGTGTCTCCATCTCTGGCGTTGACGGATTCTGCGGTTTTCCTCCACGGCTAGTGCTAGTCCCCCATCGGGAGGACGACCCCGGCTAAAAATGAGTCAAATAATGAGCCGTAGCCGTAGCCCGTAGAGCGTAGTCCGCCGACCACACCCAGGACAAAGAAACCCTGCACAAAGATCGCACGGGCGGGGACCTGTTCCTTTTTACCCATCTCACAGTAGAGAGGTGTCCGTTTTTATTTATTTATCCACGGTGTGAGTATGTGTCCACAATTCTGAGGCGCTGCGGGTGTCCACCGCACGACATCACACGTAGTCATTCGATGTTCACGATGCAGTGGAGGACTGCCGAGGGCCCTCGGATCGCCTGGCCCCGAACGGCACCTTGTCCTTGACCGACTGCCAGTTGGAGCTCGACGCGGCCATGCTGCCACGCTGTGCCTGTGCCGTGTCGGCTTGGGCTCCGTCGTCCGAGCGTGGCACCAAGCTCCCGACGGACGCGGCGGTGAAGTCGGCGACGTCGCTCGGGTACTTTGCCTGCTGGCTCGCGAGGTGGGCGCCCGACTGGACGAGGCACGCCTTGATCCCGCACGAGTTGCCACCACGGATGTCGGTGTCGAACCGGTCGCCCACCATGCAGATTTTGGCGAGGTCGCCGTCGTGACCCTGCGCCTTGAGCATCCGGATGGCATGCTCAAACATAAAGACGTCGCCTGCGCTCGGCGCGGCGCCGACTCACGCCTGGTGTGGGGAAGGCAGGGGGCTGTTGCTGGGGGGATGGAGGCGTTCCGCTGCGCACCATGCGATCCGCCCTTGCCCGCGCACGCAGTCTGCTCGTCCTCGGCGGGCGCCATCAAAAACTTCATCATCGCCGCAAACATGCCAGGACCCGGGAGCGGGAAGACCTACGAATGTTTGGGCGATGAGGGGGCGGCCGCACGACTGCCCTCTTGGTGTCTGTGCGGTGCACGCCATGCCCGGGTATTCTGGGTCCTCGGACGGGTTGAATGCGTCGTCTGCAGTGTAGATGAGCTGAGCGCCGTGGTGCAGGAGGAACGAGACGTTGCGTATCAGACCGTAGTTCCAATCGCCGCGGTAGTCTGCAGACCGCCCCGATACGTCGCCGTCCACGACGTCAACCTTGTCCAGCTTTCCATCGAGGAAGAGGACGACGAAGACCGTGCACTCGCCCGCCTCCTGCGAGTCGCGCGCCTCCTTGGCCCAAGCCTTGGCCTCGTCGTTTGTCAGCGTCGTCCGGATGTCCCACGAGTCGAACCGCATCGAGTCCTTCATCCGAAGCGAGTTGAGCCAAAACCCTTCGCCGCCCGCCATCACAAACACCTTGGCGCCGTGCGGCAGGCCATAGTCGCGCTGGCTCCCCTTTGCGCTGTCTGGCGTGTCCTCCTTCTTGTGCATCATCAGGTCCATCTGCGCCTCCGAGGCGGTCCAGATGTTTCGGAGCGGCACGGGCTTGGACGAGAGCCGATACCTCTCAGACTTGAATTTGGTCTGCACGCCTGGACTGCCCTTTGCGCCGGTGTTGGACAGGAACACGTGCGGCGTCTTGGTGCTGACGAGCCACTCGTAGAACTCGATCGCGCCGTCGATTAGTCCGCCTGGCCGGTACATCGTGCCATCGAGATCGATGAGAAAGCCTACGGTGGCAGCACAGCCGGGTGGGAGCCAGCCGCGTACATCTCGGAGGGGGCGGTGGCTGCGCTGCCGCGTCGCAGCTGCTGGTGGGGGGACGGGGCCTGTTATGCCGCTCGATGCCGGGTCGTACTCCGGCGGCTCAAGAGAAGGAGCAGGCATGAGCACGGAAACTCTACCTGCTGTAGCGCGGGAGGTGTGCTGCTTTTGCGCTGCCGTCCTTCGCCGACGATTGATGATCACGTAACGTCACCACGATCCACGTCAGGTCAGCGTCGTGAAGGTGTGTGACCGTCAACACCCGTCCCGCGTACCCATATCGCGCTGGTGTCCCAGTCGTTGGTCGGGCTATGTTTCGCCTTCCCATCAATCAATCGTAAGATAAGCTAAGGCAAACTTCTCCAACAAACACACAAGCTGGTGGGCAAGGAAGGGGGGGGGGGGGGGAGGGGGAAGGCCGGGGAAGGTTACCGACCCGAAATGAACCCACCGAAATCTTGGCGGACACATGCAGGGTCCACCCACTCTCAAGGAAAGGCTCCGTGCCGTGAGAGAACTGCAATCTCGATCTCGTGCGAGCTCGTTCCGATCTCGGCGGATCTCGACGCCGAGACCTGCCTCGAGCACCACGTCCAGGTGTTGCAGGGAAGGCCTACAGTCTGAGTACGCCAGCCTCGGTGCGGGAAGGCGGTGGTGTGCAGAGTCTCGCTCCCGCGTATCGTGTCTGCACACCACCGCCCCCATGTATTCGTGTCGCTCCCGCGGTGGTGTGCAGAGAACCGCGTGAATGCGAGCGACACGAATACAGCAGCGACCGCTGAATACGGTCGAATGCGGCGGAGTGCGCGTCCTCTCGAGCGCTGGTTGGGACACACGTAGTCTTCGTCTTCTAGCGGCAGAGGCCCTTGAAGGGTAATCTCGGGTAATCTCGGGCAATCTCGGGCAATCTCGGGTAATCTCGGGTAATCTAGGCGCAGGCCCTTGAAGGGTCCCCCCGTGAGGGGCGCACTGTTGTAATCTCGGGTAATCTCGGGTAATCTCGGGTAATCTAGGCGCAGGCCCTTGAAGGGTCCCCCCGTGAGGGGCCCACTGTTGTAATCTCGGGCAATCTCGGGCAATCTCGGGTAATCTCGGGGAATCTAGGCGCAGGCCCTTGAAGGGTCCCCCCGTGAGGGGCCCACTGTTGAAGGCGCGGCACGCCTAGATTCCCCTATATTACCCGAGATGACCCGTGATTGCCCGAGATTAATTGAAGGCGCGACACTCTGAGAGTATCCGGGAGTCCCCGAGATGACCCGAGATTAGTTGAAGGCGCGGCACGCCTAGATTACCCGAGATGACCCGAGATGACCCGAGATGACCCGAGATGACCCGAGATTACCCGAGAGTAGTTGAAGGCGCGGCACGCCTAGATTACCCGAGATTACCCGAGATGACCCGAGATTAGTTGAAGGCGCGGCACGCCTAGATTACCCGAGATTACCCGAGATTACCCGAGATTAGTTGAAGGCGCGGCACGCCTAGATTACCCGAGATGACCCGAGATTGCCCGAGATTAGTTGAAGGCGCGGCACGCCTAGATTACCCGAGATGACCCGAGATGACCCGAGATTAGTTGAAGGCGCGGCACGCCTAGATTACCCGAGATTACTCGAGATGACCCGAGATTAGTTGAAGGCGCGGCACGCCTAGATTACCCGAGATGACCCGAGATTACCCGAGATTGCCCGAGAGTAGTTGAAGGCGCGGCACGCCTAGATTACCCGAGATTACCCGAGATTGCCCGAGATTAGTTGAAGGCGCGGCACGCCTAGATTACCCGAGATGACCCGAGATGACCCGAGATGACCCGAGATGACCCGAGATTAGTCGAAGGCGCGGCACGCCTGGGCAAGGTGAGGTCAGGTGAGGTAAGCTAAGGTTCTCCACACGCACACGAGGTGGTGGGGCGAGGGGCCAGGCTAGTCCCTCGCGTCTCCACGTCTGACGACAGGAGCCCCACGGCAGAGAATTCGTGGTGCCGGGGCAGCAGTCGACGTGGGGTGTCGGTAAGGTACGGGTCAATCTCGCGCAATCTCGCGCAATCTCGCGCGATCTCGCGCAATCTCGCGCGATCTCGCGCGGTCTGGCGCAATCTCGCGCAATCTCGCGCCTCCTCGCACGCATGCCAGCTCTGCTTCTTGTGGCCGATGCCCCAACGCACGCCCAGCCTAGAAGGTATTAATCACGATTAATAGCCTGGTAGTTATTAAATCACGATTAATTATACATTAAACAACGAGCGCCCCACCGCACGCCGCGCCTAGTATGTCTTAATCATGATTGATTATATTACTAAACAATAAACGCCCCACCACCGCACGGAGCCTGCGCAAAGGTACGGCGGTAAGGCAACGGAAACTTCTCCATACACACACGCGGTGTCGGGGCAAGGGGCCAGGCTAGTCCCTCGCGACTCCACGTCTAGAAGGCAGGAGCCCCGCGGCATTCAAAGTGGAAGCCAAAGCCCGGCGCGCGTGGGTGAGCGGTGGCAAAACCGCCGCACACCTCCGGTAATCACGGCTTGCTCGCGCGCGTCTCCGGTAGTCTCGGACAACCTCGGACAATCTCGGGAGATCTCGGTCAATCTCGGGCAACCTCGGGCAATCTCGACCAATCTCGGGCAATCTCGGGCAATCTCGGGCAATCTCGCCCGTCGTAGTCCGCGGCGAGGTCGACGTGGCCGACGAGCTGCGTGCCTAATCTCGGGTAATCTCGGGTGATCTCGGGTGATCTCGGGTGATCTCGGGTGATCTCGCGAGTTGACGTGGCCGACTAGCGGCGTGCCTAGATTACCCGAGATACCCCGAGATTACCCGAGATTGACCGAGATTACCCGAGATCGCCCGAGATTGACCGAGATTACCCGAGATTGCCTACACAACCAACGAGAGGCGGCGAGAGGGTGGATCCGTCCAACCAAAGCTCAGAGCCGAGGTCTAGCCGAGGTCTAGCCGAGGTCTAGCCGAGATCTAGCCGAGATCTAGGCGCGCGCCGGCCGCCAGCAGCTTCTCGTACAGCTTGGCTGTCGGCGACTGCTCCAGGCAGCCAGGGACGACCTTCGAGTACGTAGCCGAGATTACCCGAGATTACCCGAGATTACCCGAGACTGCTCCAGGCAGCCGGGGGCGACCTTCGAGTACGCACCCGAGATAACCCGAGATTACCCGAGATTACCCGAGACTGCTCCAGGCAGCCGGGGGCGACCTTCGAGTACGCACCCACGGCCGGCGACCCGCAGGCACGCGACGTGTTGCAGACGTCCTTGGAGATGCAGCCTACGATGAGTCGCGAGATACAATCTCCGAGGTACAATCTCCGAGATTACAATCTCCAGCTGGAGATGCAGCCTACGATGAGTCGACTCGGCGCGCATTGCCGCAATAATCAGGCAACGCTTCTGCTCCCGCCCTTGCATCTGCAAACCTACAAGTCGATCCCCGCATTGCCGCGCGTCGATCAGGTCAAAACTTCTGCTCCTGTCCTTGCATCGGCAAGCCTATAAGTTGGTCCCCGCATCGCCGCGATTCGACCAAGCCTCCTGCACACGTCCTTGCATTTGCAGCCTATAACTTGATTCGCGCCATTGCCGCGATTCGACCAAGCCTCCTGCACACATCCTTGTATTTGCAGCCTATAACTTGATTCGCGCCATTGCCGCGATTCGACCCAGCCTTCTGCACACGTCCTTTATTTTGCAGCCCGAGTAGACAGCGGGAGGGACACAGTCTGCACACGGCTTCACCTCGAGGTTGACGCCGCTGTGCCACGGGACGGCGGGGCTGCCGGCCTGTTCACAGCAGGAGCTGTGAACAGGCTGGTGCTGTTGGGCCACAAATGGAGCGCTGCCGGCCTGTTCAGAACAGAACAGGTGCTGTGCAGAGGTTTAAGCCACTGGGCCACGGAGAACGGCAGCGCTGCCTGCGCGACACGCGCGACCGAGTGGCGGAGGTCGTCCGCGCTTTGGTGCCTACGTGCTGCAACACACCGACATCGGGGCGAGGTACGGGACTGTGCAGTGTGTTGAGAGCACCGCGTGAAGCACGAATGCAGCGGAGTCCGTGCCCTCTCGAGCTGGTCGGAATACAAGAATGCGCATTCCGCTTCTAATCTCTGGTGCTTGAGCCAGCACTCCTTGGAGATTGGGTGCCACACCCACGCGTTGCACTGCGCGCCGCCGCCCACGTCGAGCGAAGGCTCGTACTCGCGGCACGAGCGGCAGCAGTCGGCGGCCGTCGGCTGGTCATTGTCGCCGCCGGCCTGCACCAGCGAGCCCCAGAGCTCGAGGTGCTCCCTCCCGCTGCAGTCGGCCGCCACGGAGGAGGAGGCGCTCGAGGCGGCTGGGCCGGCGGCACCGGCGGCGGCGGCGGCGGGACTGGGCGGATGAGGCGACGCAGAGGGCGGCGGCTGCGAATGCACTGATGGCGGCGATGATGATGCAACGCGCAGCCGGCGCCTCGGTGGGTCTCTATATGTAAGGACATTGAGCACAAACACGAGCAGAGGGGCGGCGGTGAAGACGTACACTGCGCTGCGCATGTGTGCGCACGACGCGGGCTCGCGGTGCTGTTTTGCGGTGGCTGCGGCTGGCCCACGGCGCTGGCCCTATGGCAAGCCCACAAAAAGAATTCTACCAGGCGCGGACTGGCGCGGACTGGCACACACACCGGCTCACCCACAAAAAGAATTAAACCGGAACTCTCTCTCACAGCGGCTGTTCTTCACCTTTCTACCTACCTACCTAGCGGAGAGGCTCGACACAGGTGCGAACTGGCGCGTGCTAGTACTATCACCGGCACACCACCGGAGCCGCCTAAGCGACTCCGTTAAGAAAAGAATTCAAGCACAAACTCGCTCTCACAGCACACAGGTTCGACACAGGTACGCCACAGTACAATAATTCACAAGCCGCGGCTGCGGGAGACTTCTCCCATCCCTCCCTTGGGCTGTCTGTTTTCTTTTTTTTATGGCCGCCGACGCGGCTCGCACTCGGGCGAAAGTGTTCAGTGCGGTAGAGGGTCAGCTCGGGGCGCGAGTGGTGGCCTGTGAGCCACCCGGCTTACATTTACCCTGCGTTCTCGCACATGGAGCGCGAGCGAGGTAGCCGTCCTGTTGCCATCCCAAACTGTCACTCCCCTTTTCCCCTCGGCCGGGGTGGGGCGCGCGTGGGGGCGGCGGGTGTGCGGGATGTCTGTGGGCCCGAGAGGGATATGCCATGCGTGTGTCCGCCTTGCGTACAAACATCGAAAGCTAGCTCAAAAAAGAAATAAATAGTTAATTCAAAGAAAACAACTCTCACACTGCTCTCACAGGAGCAGGCACACATCGATAAAAAACATTCAACGACTCATTCCTTGCATCGTGCGTCGTCGTGCCCAAGAATGCAACAACTTTACTCTTTAGCAACTTTATTATGTTCATATTTTTACCACCATCCAGATACTCATCACCACCATCTCGCTGTCTGTGTATGCGCGTCTTTCCGGTTAGAGAGACGGTAGGCGTTAGCCTGTGGCCTCGTTGTCTGGCAGTTGGTAAAGCAATAGATGAGTGATGTTGTTGAACGAGAGGGTTCTACACGCATGATTGTGCGTGGTAAAGCAACAGATGAGTGATGTTATTGTATTTGTGATGAGTAAGTGTTAAGTGTTCCGTGTGTGCAAGCGATTTCTTTTTTGAGAGCGCCTTCGTTGTTAATAGTACAAACCCAATGGTCCTCTGCGAGCGGTCCGTCGTTGCAGTCGCACACACGCACACGCCACGCCGCACCGCGCGCCCGCCCACCGCCCCGCCCAAAGGACACGGCCGGCGACGGAGAGCTCGGCTGGAAGGGGGCCTATGCCGTTCTTAACGGAGTCGCTTAGGCGGCTCCGGTGGTGAGCCTGTGTGTGTGCCAGTCCGCGCCAGTCTGCGCCCTTGTCGTGCCAGTGTGCTGTGAGAGAGGCTTGTGAGAGAGAGAATTCTTGATACGAAACCACGACGACACACACCAGTCGACTCGCATCGGTTGCCTCCATGAACGGCGGAGCTATTCTCGCGCCCACACCACACCTGGCTCCAACGTGGACACGCCCATAGCTGGGGACACTACTAGGTCACGCATGGCATCACAGAAGTTTTATCTCTGGGCCTTCCTCTCTCTCTCTCTCTCTCTCTCTCTCAGAGGCTTTCTTGAGAATTCTTTTTCGCGATGTCGGCCACTGTGCTGCCACTGCTCTCGCCTCTGCGTCCGCTGCCGGGGTTCGTCGCGAACCTCAACGGCGCAGGGCGCCTCGGAGGCTGTTTCGCACTCGACGGCGCCGACCTGAGCAGCGGAGGCCTGTCCGGCACGAGATGGACACTCTCGCTTGATGTCGGCGCAGAGCGCGGCACGTGGATGCCGCCGACCTGGGGCAGGAGCGGATCCCGCGCCACGCCTCGCGTCCGCGTCGAGTTTGCAGAAGACGGCGAGCTGCGCATCCTCGAGACTGGTCCGTACGACCGCGTCACTGTTAGCTGGGCAGGCGCTGGCCGCTGGACGCAGCCGGCGGGTCGCGAGAAGGCGGAGTTCTGGCTGCCGCACACGGGCCTCGCCCGGGACGATGTTGTGCTCGAGGCAGGCAGGCTGCACTTCTCTGCGCCGGCGTGGGGCGCGCAGTTGAGCCGACGCGGAGGGACCGCCATTCTAGATGCATGCCAGGTTAGCAGGTTTCCGACAGGCACGCAGAGCCATTGTCTTCTGGCTTCTGGCTTCACGCGGTGCTCTGATTGCAGTGCACGATGGCGTATGTTCACACCCTGACCTTGGCGTACTGACAACGCAGGCTCACCATCAAGCAATCCAAGCTGGGGTGGATACCCTTTCTGCCGACGCTGCCAGGCACCTGACGGCTCGCAGGAGGCGGCTAGAGCGTACTCCAGGAACCTTCTCTGAACCTTCCTTGTAGGGACGGAGGGCTCGTTCATCGTGGGCACCTTCCGGGCGGCCCGGCTGGAGGAGGAAGATGGGCCGCTGGGGGCCTGACGAGGCCCCTGGGTAAGGACGTGGGCGCTGTTCCATGCGCGCAACGCACATCCGCCACAATAAGAGTATGTGTCGTTGTGCACGTTTCAGCCGTTTTGGCATGTTCACATGATGCATGAGTTGTGCGCTTTACGTTGCGCCGTTTGTGAGAAAGAGATGTGTGCATAAGAAGTCCAAAAGATTCTGCAAAAGACACGTGCGCGCGCGATGCAGAGGGATGTGCGTCATACACCAACGTGCTCAAGTGATGGGGGCAAGCCGCTGCAAGTGGATCAAGCAAGTATATAGCAAGTACTCTCGCGGCGAACGACACGGTCGCAAGTCATCGCGCCTCTAGCCACTGCCACGCGTCACTCCTCCTCGAACGTCTTCGAGGCGATGCCCTGGCCCAAGCTGGAGATGTAGAGCGTGCTCTCGTACCACTGCGCGACGCCGCCGGACATCGCACTGTAGTCGCCCGACTCGTCGGTCCACGTGTCGCCGTCATCTCGGCTCACCCACACAAACAGCTGGCCCGCGACGCCAGAGAGGGCGAGCGTCTTGCCCGACCACGAGTACTCGGCGGTGAGCTGCCGGCGGGCGACGCTCGCGAGGCTCTCCATGCGCCGCCACGAGGCGCCGCCGTCGTTGGTGCGCAAGGGCACGTCGCCGTCGCGCAGGACAACCTGGTCAGGTAAGGTAAGGTCAGGTTAGGTAAGCTTCTCCACACACACACGAGGTGGTGGGGCAAGGGCCAGGCTAGTCCCTCGCGTCTCCACGTCTAGACGACATGAGCCCCACGGCATTCAAAGTGCAAGGCCCGGCGCGCGTGGGTGAGCGGTGTGTGTCAGTGTGTGTGTGTGTGTGTGTGTGTGTGTGTGTGTGTGTGTGTGTGTGTGTGTGTGTGTGTGTGTGTGTGTGTGTGTGTGTGTGTGTGTGTGTGCGTGCGTGCGTGCGTGCGTGCGTGCGTGCGTGCGTGCGTGCGTGCGTGCGTGCGTGCGTGCGTGCGTGCGTGCGTGCGTGCGTGTGTGTGTGTGTGTGTGTGTGTGTGTGTGTGTGTGTGTGCGTGTGTGTGTGTGTGCGTGTGTGTGTGTGTGCGTGTGTGTGTGTGTGTGTGTGTGTGTGTGTGCGACCTGGTGCGTGCGAATACGGCGCGAGGAGGGCGTGAGTGACTATCTCGTGCCGCGCATCGGCAGCATCGCGTGGATGCAAGGGCTACGCATGCACGAATGCAGTGAGCGGTAATGCGGCGGTCTGGATGCCGCATCTGGGCGCAGGGACCATCGTCCTCGAGTCCCTCACAACCAGCTGGCGGAAGCGGCCGGTGAGGCCCGGTGCCTTCCAGCAGGGAGACCAGCTCTCCGCGTGGTCGGCGCTGTGCGAGATGCAGCTGCCGCCGCTTATCACGTAGATCGTATCGCTGGTGGGATTGGCGACGAGGCCTCCGACGCCCTGCAGGAATTGCGGTAGCCGCACCCACGACCAGTTGGCACCAAAGTTCGAGCTCTTGAGCACGTACCACTCACGCGCCTGCGTCGGTGATCCCACGGCGTCATGGGGGTGTGGAAGACGGTGTCTTGCAGAGTCGTCGGAGCACCGCGTGGATACGAGGGCACAGCGAATACAGTATAGCGAAGGCAGGGGAATACCCACCCTCTCGAAATCGCCACTCTCACGGTGACTTGGGCTCGGCAGCTCGTCAACCCTCAGCCGGTCCCGCGGCCGAGAGAGCCCGATGAGTTCGGCGCGGTCTCTCGAGCGCAAGTTTGAATACACGGGTGTCTTTATCATCTAGGCTCGCGCGCCGAGCGGCCGGTGCCGGTGCCGGTCACGTCCAAGGCCATGGAGGTGATCTCGAGCTGGGAACGGCCCGCGAAGCCCAACTTTCGCCCCACCGAGTTCCTACGTGCTGAATACGTCAGCCTCGGGGCGGGAAGACGGTGGTGTGCAGTGTCTTCAGAGCACCGCGTGAGTACGAGGGGCTACGAATGCTGTGAATACAGCGGAAGCCGAGTGCGTGTCCTCTCGAGCGCTGGTTGGAAAACGAGAACCCGTAGCGTCTAAGACCTCGAGATGTGGGGAGATATGGCGGAGATATTCCGCTTCTAGGCCGTGGTGCCACTCGGAGCACGTAGCGTTGTACTCGAGCTGGCCCTGCCTCCACAGCTTGTGGCTCCAGTCGTCCTCGTCCTCGCCCACGCCGCCGCCGCCCTCGCCGCCGCCGCCCTCGCCGCCGCCCTCGCCGCCGCCCTCGCCGCCCTCGCCGTCCCCGCCGCCCGCGCCGTCATGGCCGATTGGCGTGAGGGCGGGGCGCGCTCTCCGCACAAAGCTCACGGCGCCCTCGCGGTGCCTCAGTGAGCCCACCGCGCACAGGGTGCAGGAGCTGTCCGTCGCGCCTAATTAACTACTCATTCATGAGTAATTAACGAATTCGTAGAGCAGGCCGCAGGAGCTGTCCGTCGCGCCTAATTAACTACTCATTCATGAGTAATTAACGAATTCGTAGAGCAGGGCGCAGGAGCTGTCCGTCGCGCCTAATTAACTACTCATTCATGAGTAATTAACGAATTCGTAGAGCAGGGCGCAGGAGCTGTCCGTCGCGCCTAATTAACTACTCATTCATGAGTAATTAACGAATTCGTAGAGCAGGGCGCAGGAGCTGTCCGTCGCGCCTAATTAACTACTCATTCATGAGTAATTAACGAATTCGTAGAGCAGGGCGCAGGAGCTGTCCGTCGCGCCTAATTAACTACTCATTCATGAGTAATTAACGAATTCGTAGAGCAGGGCGCAGGAGCTGTCCGTCGCGCCTAATTAACTACTCATTCATGAGTAATTAACGAATTCGTAGAGCAGGGCGCAGGAGCTGTCCGTCGCGCCTAATTAACTACTCATTCATGAGTAATTAACGAATTCGTAGAGCAGGGCGCAGGAGCTGTCTTTCGCGCCTCGCCAGACCGCCGCGGCGCCTGCGCACAGCGGGAGGCGTGGAGGCGGAACAAAGGCGAGGTAGAGGCAGGGCGGAGGCGAGAGGCCGCGAGGCGTACACACCATGAAGTCTCCGACGGCGTGCAGCCATCTCTCGGCCTTCTCCCGGCTGCATCTCGCCTGCATCTCGACTATACCCCGGCGATCCGACGCCTGTGTGCCACCCGTGCTGCAAACCGATGTCCCCTCTCGATCAAACATCTCATCACAGCCCCCTCTCCCGGCTACCCGACGCCTGTGTGCCACCCGTGCTGCAAACCGATGTCGACGCGCGCGAGGCAGCCGTCGCGAGTGTGCGCGCCGAGCTCAATCGCCTCCCCCGCACCGCAGACCACCTCAGTGTCGACGATAACCTCCCACGCCGGCGCCTGCGGCAGCGCGATCGCCAAAGTCTGGCCGAGAGAGCGGTCGCCGAGCGGTCGCCGAGGTGCGGCCGAGAGGCGGCGAGGGCGGAGGCGGCGAGGGGCCGAGGCGGCGAGGGGCCGAGGCGGCGAGGGCGGAGGCGGCTGGCGTGGGGGTGGCGAGGGTGGGGGGTGGCGAGGGCCGAGGCGGTGGGGGCGGAGGTGGTGGGGGCGGAAGTGGTGGGGGCGGAAGTGGTGGGGGCGGAGGTGGTGGGGGCGGAGGCGGCGAGGGCGGCGGCGCCTCCATCGTCATCGGCGCGTAGATCAGGCCAGAGGGCTCCGCGCGCGAGCCCGCCTACTCAATTGATTAGTACTGAGTACTTAATGAATCAACAGAGCAGGCCAGAAAGCTCCGCGCGCAAGCCGCCCTGCGCGCAAACGCGGGCGCGCCGACGCTGGCCCCGTTTGGGACGACGAAGCGCGAGAAGTTCTTCCCGCCGCGCGAGCTGCGGGCGACCTATTCATTACTTAGTACTGAGTAATTAATTAATCGAGAAGTTCTTCCCGCCGCGCGAGCTGCGGGCGACCTATTCATTACTTAGTACTGAGTAATTAATTAATCGAGAAGTTCTTCCCGCCGCGCGAGCTGCGGGCGACCTATTCATTAATTGGTACTGAGTAATTAATTAATCGAGAAGTTCTTCCCGCCGCGCGAGCTGCGGGCGACCTATTCATTAATTGGTACTGAGTAATTAATCGATCGAGAAGTTCTTCCCGCCGCGCGAGCTGCGGGCGACCTATTCATTCATTAGTACTGAGTAATTAATTGATCGAGAAGTTCTTCCCGCCGCGCGAGCTGCGGGCGACCTATTCATTCATTAGTACTGAGTAATTAATTGATCGAGAAGTTCTTCCCGCCGCGCGAGCTGCGGGCGACCTATTCATTAATTGGTACTGAGTAATTAATCGATCGAGAAGTTCTTCCCGCCGCGCGAGCTGCGGGCGACCTATTCATTCATTAGTACTGAGTAATTAATTGATCGAGAAGTTCTTCCCGCCGCGCGAGCTGCGGGCGACCTATTCATTCATTAGTACTGAGTAATTAATTGATCGAGAAGTTCTTCCCGCCGCGCGAGCTGCGGGCGACCTATTCATTACTTAGTACTGAGTAATTAATTGATCGAGAAGTTCTTCCCGCCGCGCGAGCTGCGGGCGACCTATTCATTACTTAGTACTGAGTGATTAATTGATCGAGAAGTTCTTCCCGCCGCGCGAGCTGCGGGCGACCTATTCATTACTTAGTACTGAGTAATTAATTGATCGAGAAGTTCTTCCCGCCGCGCGAGCTGCGGGCGACCTATTCATTACTTAGTACTGAGTGATTAATTGATCGAGAAGTTCTTCCCGCCGCGCGAGCTGCGGGCGACCTATTCATTCATTAGTACTGAGTAATTAATTGATCGAGAAGTTCTTCCCGCCGCGCGAGCTGCGGGCGACCTATTCATTCATGAGTACTGAGAAATTAATTGATCGAGAAGTTCTTCCCGCCGCGCGAG